GCATAACTCTCCTTTAAAATGGTAGGTATGCATAGGCTCGAATAAATTATTGTTGGTATTATTAGTTAATGAATAATATTAATGGTAACATTAATTGTTAACCAATGGCTAATAAAAGATATGAAAATGTCATACAAGATTCCTTATAAGATTTTCTACATTTATCAAAAAAAAATGTCTATAAGAAAGTCAAATTAAATTTTTAGGAGTGTTTGAAATTCAAATATTTACAACATTGGAGATTCAGTCGATTTCTCATATAGCGATTTCCTTATTTTGTTGTAATTCTAAAACGAATAACTGTAGATACATGAAAATTTCATTGAATGTTTATATTAGCATTTTCTAAACACTATACAATTTTGAAAATATTTTTGAGCTGTTTATGGACATTTTCAGTTTTCGATTTTTTTAGTTTTTTTTTCTATAAATATCAATAAAGTTTTATCTGTTGGGTCAAAAAGTATAAAAAATTAATACAAGGCTCCCGATATATTGTTACAATATCAGTTTGAAAAATATTTCAAATACATATGTACAATTTCTTTTTATAAGCATTTAAACATCGAATTTTGACAAAATTTATCAAAATCTCGAAAATTATCAATCATTGTAATTAATAAATTATAAAATGTTCAGTTTTTATAGCTAAGGACTGCAAATTTAAAACAGAGGTTCTCATGAATAGTTCATACTGTAACCAAAAAATCTAAAAAATATATGAACACAGTTATTTATTACAGACATTTTAAATTCAAATTTGGATGAAATTATATATTAAAAAACTTAGAATAACTATTTTAGTTATTTTGTTGTGATTGAATAATATTATTCGTGGGTACTTGAAACTTCTAAAGTGTACTATTATATTTATATATCTATGATAGTATCACGGTTTATTGTTGATGTAAAACGCTTATAAGTACCTAATGGATATTGTGATTTGATTAATTTGGAATTTATTATAGGTCAATTTTATTTTAATACGATATATATGTAATATGTATATAATATGTCTTAACCTAGACTGACATACCGTCTCCACTCAGATTCGTTTTTCTTATACAATGATATTATATCATTGAATTCAAATTTAATACCATCCATTATACAGTGACCCACTTATAACCTACAGTACAGCAGAGCACATTTTTTAAATTACAAATAATGTATAATCAATTAGGTATTAATAATCAGTAATTGTATAATATTTTTTCAATGAAAATTATTTGGGGTGGCAAAATATCTAATCATACCTCATTATGTTTATTACATATAAAAGACATTGTTAAGCAATACAAATTCAAACATACAATATAGTGTAGTTTAATGATGTTTAAAAAAATTTAATTGAATCGTGCGTCGACTGCAATACGTAGAAATGAAACATATTGTACATACAACAAAATTGAAAATTTCTTACAAACTCTGGTTATAGTAGATAATATATGCTTTTGAAATTATAATAATTTGTGTATGAAACTTACTATTAATCAATTTAAGTGTATATACATATATATATATATATATGTGTGTGTGTGTGTGCTACATCAGTTACAAATTAACAATGAATAATAATTAAGTGTTAGCTGTAGTAATTCTTATGATTATCAGAGAATGGTTTAGTTGCGAATTAGTAATCAGTATTGATACAATGATGAATCTTTTTGTTGTTTTTCTGCTACATCTGCATTGATGAAGTCATTTCTAGTATAATGTTTCTGAAATAATACAATTGCATACAAATATCTGCTGATATATTTTAGAGTACATAAATAATTCTAAATAATTTACCACCTAGTGTGCGAGTCGCAGTCAGTCTAAATGCATGTTTGACATTTGATACAAATACATTACAAAATTCGCATCAAGAGAGTAGCACGTAGAGGTTGTCGAATTTCCCCTATGCCTTAGTAGCAGTACAACAATGATTCTGTTTCTGTTACATCTGCATTGATAGTCATTTTTAGTATAATGTTTCTGAAATAATACAAATGCATACAAATATCTGCTGATATATTTTTAGAGTACATAAATAATTCTAAATAATTTACCATCTAGTGTGCGAGTCGCAGCCAGGTTAAATGCATGTTCAACATCAGTTACGTATTCATTACAAAATCCGCATCCAGAGAGAACCACGTGGAGGTCGTCAAACTTTCTCTCCTCCGCGAGTCGTACTTACGACTGCTTATAAACCATGTGTCACACAGATCGGATTCGATGTTCATTAAGTTCTTGTAGACTTAATTGTACAGTTATATCGCTTGTAGAATTTCTCTGTACACAATGTTCTTAGTGACGAATCTACCACGGCCATCACTGTACATAGCAACTCTAATGGTTTTTATGGATTGAGAGTCCCTCACTCGGGAAAACGCTGCATACAGTTGTCCTATAATAAAGTTTTAAAAAGTAGAATATAAATGATACCTATGTATTTATTAATATAATATATATAAATCATGTATAATACATTATTGCATGCCAACGACATAATAAAAATGTTGACAAATAGTACAATATTTTAAGCATAGTTTTACACCTTTGAAGGAATTTAAATTCAATTTAACATATAATACCTATGTAAATGTAGTTTTCTTGTTTTGAAATTTGTTTGAAATATTGCAAAAAATTAATACGTGTAACCCAATGTAAAGGTTAGTACAGTTATAAGGTATGAATTGAATTAATTAAACTTGGTAATACAATATTAGTATATTATAATCGAGGGGTAAACACCTTGGGGGTAATCATGTGTAATCATAGGTAATCTTTGTAGTAAGTCATGGGAAATCATAGGTATAATCATTTAAATCAGTAATCTGGTGTACAAACTTTCTGTAATTACCCCTCGTATATAAATGTATTGAATTTACTTATTATTACTTACCTTATTACGTATGTAACGACATTGTCATAAACAATCGACACACCAAGCTCCTACTAAAACTCTTAGCTATAATAGTTAAATGTACTGCAATACTCGTGAAAAAATGTCTATCTAATCCGTGCATTCAAACTACTTATATTTTTAATATTATTGAAATTCTGAATGGCTGAATGGCGGCTTCCACAACGGTACGATAAGAAGATTCATAATAATGACATTTACATAACACTTGAACAGTTTCTGAATATTGCGTTTTACATATTTTATATATTTTACACACGGAAAAATCACAATTTTTGTAAAAATCGCACACGCACTTTTTTATTTTTATTATATTATATAATATATAGAAATACGGAATAACTCGGGAAAATAATATTCGAAAATATTCACGTCAATCGTCGATAACGAAAAGGGAGATAAGCGAGCGGCGACGTGAAAATTTAGCGAACGCGCGAGAAGTATTATGATTGGTCGTCATGGAAGAAACGCGGAGTTGCTTATTTGCTGCGTCGCGCGAGAAGTAATATGATTGGTCGTCATGGAAGAAACGCGGAATTCCTTATTTGTCGCGTCGCCCCTGGTGGCAAAAAACGGAGACTATTTGTGTTTTATAATATAAGAGATTAGGGGCGGACTGGGCCGGCGGGATACCGGGAACTTTCCCGGTGGGCCGCTGCTCAAAAATAATTTGTTATTATTATTTATTTATAATAAAATCAGTAGGTAGGTATAAATATAAATTATAAATATTTTGTATTTTCATATCATAACAATTGAGTGTGAAAAATTATTTATATTATATTTGGTGTAAATATAAGATAAAAGATTTTAGGTTTCGGTTCAGCTGATTGCCCGCCCTCGGCCTCAATGCATAATCACAAATTATTATTTATAACTAGGGTGTGAATTTAAATATAAATTGAATTTTTTTCTACATTTCCTTAAACATCCAGGCTTTCCAATCAAAAAAATGTATTTCATACATAAAATAATTTTAAAATGAAATTTTTATTTAACATTTTTTTAACTTTATTGATTTTTAGAACATTTTTTTGACGTTTTTATGACATTTTTATGGTTTGAAGGAATTTTTCGTAAATTTTTTAAGTATAAATACAATTTTATAGACACTATTGCTTAAATTCCTTCAATAAATTTAATATAATTAAAAATCAATTTTTTTACTAATATTTCTATTTTATTACGTCTTATGTTTACTCCTATGACTTCAGTTATACAAAAACAATACTTGCCAATTATAATTGTCGAAGTTTTTTATTTGAAAATATTAGTTAGCTTCTGACTGACCAGTGATATAATGAAATCGACGGTATTTTGTTAAAAGGGCGTATACAAAATTTTACCTTTTTTCAGGAATCAAATAAAACTGATTAAATACTCAATTTTTAAGATAGAATATTTATTTATACATTAAATTAAACACGAGACTCCGTGGAACTAAAATTGATAATTAAATTGCTGAAACTAAATTTATATTTAATGTTATATTATTTTTAAAAAAATGTTTGTGGTGTAGGCCCTTTTAACAATTTTAATTTTATAAATGCCCTTCTAAGAACATATAATAATAGTGGTATAAGTCCTTTCAACATTTTTATTTCTACAAACGCCCTTTTATACATATTGTTATTAGTGGTATATGTCCTTTTAGCATTTTTATTTTTTATACATCTACTTATTTTAAAACATAAAAATTTTAATTTTTTAAGAACAATTGAGTATCTACATTAACATGTATGCATTTTAATGAGATTAGTTGGTACTTTATTTGAAATAAAAATAATGACTTCTATATTAGTTCAAAATAAATCAATATTTTAAAATAATAGAATAATATTAATTAATAGTAACTTGAATAAAATTAAAAAAAAACAATGACTTCTTGTTATTTAACAGTAACTTGAATAAAATAAAAAAAAAAACAATGACTTCTTGTTATTTAACAGTAACTTGAATAAAATAAAAAAAAAACAATGACTTCTTGTCATTTAACATGAATTTAAAAGTTTTAATAAAAAATAAGTTCACTTAAAAATATAAAAAACAATATAATAGTATAACATAAACAAAATAATAATGTTGACTAGTCAATTTCATCTTCATCATCAGTCTCAGGCAAAACATCTAACACAGAAGGCTTGAAAGGAATAGAGAAATATTCTGAATGATAAACTTCAGGTATAATTTTTTTTAAGCACAAATTTCTAAGATCTTTGTATTTAGCTGCTGTAACGGGAAGCTTTTCTTTATACTGAGGTTTTAGAACTGGATTTGTATTGCATGTTGATCTTAATCTTGCATTTGTATGTAAATTTACAGTTTTATAATCATCTTCACCGTTTTCTCCAGGTTTAAAAGTGTATGAAATATTTAATTCTTCCAGATTGTCTTTACTAAATTTAACCTTTCTGATAGACTTGAATTTAACATCACAATTCATTGTGTCTTTTAATTTAGTCTTATTGAATGTAGCATTGCATATGTCATTCCAGTTTAGAAAATCACTATAGTTTAAAATTATTGTTTCATATGGCCCAATATTAGATCTAGAATTTCTGATAACTGTAGGCCATTCCGATGGGGCCCAAATTGTTTTCTTTTTAATGTTTTTATCAATGCAAGCATGAATAGAATCTACTGGCATGTATGAGTGACCAGCTAACAAATAGTTGATTGTAATAATCTTAATATTTTCTGCATATTTTAAAAGAAAATGTCGAAGCATAGATAACATATTGTGATTTTTATTTTGGCCTGGGCAATTGTCACAGTAAAATGCAATTTCATATACATTTCCTTTCATATCAATACTTTTTAAATATTTGAACAAAATTGAACTAATTTCATTCGACCCTCTTTGGCCATCTACTTCTGACCATAGATAACAATAGCCATTCTTAGTTTTACTTTCATATATGCTCAAATTATAATATGCTAGCTTTCTAGAATAGAACAGTAACATACTATTTCCCCATGGTGTGTTAAGCACTTTTTGTAAGTCAAAACTACAGCACAAAAACCCATTTTGGCCACTCTTTTCCTGATCTTTTTTAAATACTTCAGTGGTAAATATTTTTTCTTCTATATTTTGGGTGTAGTGTAGTGTATCTTCTTCTGTCTTAGTGTCCTTATTTTTGTAACCTTCACAAAATGCACATTTATCCTTCTTTGGGGCATGTATACCAATATTGTATTCTGTATTCCACTTATTTTTGAATACTGCATTAGAAACTGGAGTTATATTTTTCATATTACAGTGCTCAACATAAAACCTATAGACATGATTTAAACTATTAAAATCACTGCTAATATATTTTTTACTAGTAGAACTTCTACAATAGTGTGATGGAACAGCTGGTAACATATTAATAAACTCTTCAAGATGTATCATTTTTTCATGTGGTGTCTTATTTGTTGGAGTTCTACTACCTATATTACCTCTGCTATCAGGTTTAGAGGTATGTAAATCAACTTTATTATCACGGGTATACCTAAGGACTTTTTCAGATATATCTAAAGTATTTAACAGAAATCTTCTGCAAACGGTTTTCTTTGTGTTGTTCACAGACATAAAATATTTATAATTACAAGTACGATTACTATTAGTTACATAAGATCTTTTTGGTAATATAATTTCCATACAACTTAACAAGTAATCACGTTTTCTACTATGATCTAGTTCTTTCCAGTATCTATGAAAAATTTTCAATCTTTCATCATCATTTATTTCAGTACATTCATTTGTACATAATTTTTCAAAACAAGGATTTTCTTTCATTTTCTTACTGGCACAAATTTCAAACTCCTTATTTTTTTTACTTTTTTTATAACTGTTTCCATTTTCATAATTAAATTTGTTTACAATGCGACTTCGTTTATTACTTTTTTTTTTCCCAAACATGTCTGGAGTATTTTCATCATCAAATTCTGTTATGTTTTCAGAATTGGCTTGTTCATTATCAAAAGTATCAGTTCCTTCCTGAGATACAACTACTTCGTTGACATTATAAGTGTCTTCAATCTCATGGTTACTGCACACTATTTGGTTGACAATATTATCTTCATTGTTAACTTCATTACTTAAATCTTGATTAATAAAAATAAATGTATCTATTTCATTTATGTCTATAAAGTCATTTTTATCATTATCATTATTAAAGGAATAACTATTATTAAGTTCTTTAATAAGATTCTCATGACCATTACAGTCCATTTCACTATCAGAGACACTTTTTTCTTCGATATCTTGTTGTATATTTTGAACATTTTGAATTTCTTCACATACAGGTACAACATTATGTTTTGATTTTTTCAATAGTGACAATAACTTTTTACTCCTAGAGTTACTCATTATTATTTAAAATATATTATACAACCTAAAAGACTAAAGACTCAAAAGTAAATACTAAATAACGATAAAACATAGTAAAAAATATTGCTTTTCTCGTCATAACCATACTCCATAGTCCATACTCCATAGTATCATTTTATAGTATCTATTAAATCGTGGTTTATTGTTAACTGATAATATAAAATTGGAGGGAAATTTGTTATCAAGTGTTATCAATACAAGTGATGTTCCGTCTGTAACCTAGAAAAACCACTTAGTTCAATCTGATAGTAAACAAACAGCTAAAAACGTAATTATTGTCACAAACTGTGTAGATTGTAAACATTTAGCATACATTCGATGTGGTATAAGCCCTTTCAACAGTTTTGTGTAGATTGTTTTAATGTTTAAAAGGGCGTCTGGATATATTGTATTCGGTATTGTTGTCTTATTTTTTCGTAGACGTATACGCCGTTTCACCAGATTATTTTCGTGATTTTTCTGAAAATTTTGATACCAAAAACGTATTTTTTGATTTTTAGTGGTAAACGTCCTTTTAACAAAATACCGTCGAAATACAAAACTTAACGACTATACCTATTTAAGTTCTACCTATTTTATTTTCATTTAAATTGGCTTTTAATTTTTCTGGGCATTTTAATAAGCTTTGTAATATTGTAACTAGTGCATAAAATCGTAATTTTAAGACATTTTTCTTGTTTTTTTTTCTTGTATTTATATCCATGCCCTATTTATAGGTAACTTAATATGACTTTATTAAACCAATCGATATATATTATAAAAACTTCTAGCCAGCCAGTATTCACTTAATATTACCTAATACCTAATATTAAATTGTATACAATAAAAAATATAATATAATTATACCTACATAATAATAAAATATAAAAATAATTTGTGATAATTTGATAGGTACTCATAAGCTGATAACTAAAAGGTACAGTTTCGTACGTTCAATGGAACATTCTTAATTCAAAAAGTGAATTTTTGAACTTTTTTTTATTTTATTTTAGTGTGTTGTTTGATGGTTGTGTAATATTTACTTATCTATTTGTTGTTTAAAATGGAAACTAAAAGAAAGGGTGGGGTTGAGAAAATCAGAGAGAGGGAGAAAGGATAACTCTTAGAAATATCAAGTTAAAACTTAAAGTAGTAAGATCGACCTATGTTTTTCATCCACAGAAAGTGATACATTTTACTATGCAGTACATGTAATTAAGATAAAATACTAAACACATTGAGAATCTTAAGTTGTCTCCTGAGAAAATTGAAGATGAGTAGAGGATGCAACCCTCATTTGTTAAAACTTTGGTACCATATTTAATTCTTACATTTAGTGATGACGAAATGGTGAGGGCTGGTCAAAATATAGATTTCCCGGGCTGAATAGTTGTCCCAGTCCGTCCCTGAATAAATATTATAGTGTATTAGTGTGTAATTTGTATAAACTATAAATAACATAACCAACAATCGAGTATTTTGAGTAATTTCTCTCGATTATTCCCATCACTACTCGTGTCTCGTTTATACTTTATTCCATTTCGATCAACGGTCGGTGTAACACTACAATATATACATTATACAACTGTCGTGATTCGTGAACTCATCGAAAAACAACCGTGAGAGTAGTATATAAATGGGGGTTCTGACCGCTGCACCGCGGCACCGCTGCACTCCACTCCCTCCACTCCCTCCACTCCCTCCACACCCTCGCTTATTGGCCACGTGCGCGAGGTATATTTTGGCCTTATCAGTAACCACTTCTTATCAGTAACCACTCCTTATCAGTAACCACTTCTTACCACTGATAACAGTTATCGGCCACGGGCGCGAGGTATATTTTGGCCTTATCAGTAACCACTTCTTACCACTGATAACAGTTATCGGCCACGTGCGCGAAGTATAATATGTTGGCCTTATCAGTAACCTAATCAGTAACCACTTCTTACCACTGATAACGATTGTTGGGCACGTGCGTGACGTATACCTAATAGTGATAACGATTATCAACAACCGTCAAATTATCAGCAGCTGTCACCGCCACCAGAAATATCTACAACATAACGTAATTATTAGTACGGTGTAGATTTTTCAAAATGTCGAAATTCACGAAATAAACGTAAATCGCAAAATATCAGAAATATCTACAACATAACGTAATTATTAGTACAGTGTAGATTATTAAGATTTTATCGAAATTCACGAAATAAACATATATTGTTAAATATCAGAAATATATACCGTATACCACTATTGTTACTACGGTGTAGGTATTTTTAAAAATGTCGAAATTCACGAAATAAACGTATATTATTGAATATGAGAAATATATACCGTATACCAATATTGTTACTACGTTGTAGGTATTTTTAAAAATGTCGAAATTCACGTTTATTGTTAAATTTCAGAAATGACTACAACGTAACGTAATTGTTATTAATCCATAGGGCTTCGTAAGAGTCAGCATTCAATCAGTCTGTCTACAGACTTACACATGTACGATTCTCCTCCGCGTTTATCCAAGTCTTTATAATAGTGGTTCAGTGTTTATAATTTTTCCAAGTCTTTATTATTTTTCTAATAAACATTTATTAAAAACATGGCTGGTGCAATCGAAGACAACGCAGTGCTATACAAAAAAAAGCCCTTCACTTATGTGCCACCGTCACCACCTGCTGAGCTCATCGAAACAACAAGCTACACACTCGACTTTGCTTCCCGTAAGTTTGTGCACATCGGTATTGACCCGACTGAAAAATTCAAAATTGTGTTACACATTATAACATCATCGCGTTACGTGCATATTACTCCGGATTGTTTAAAAACAATATTTTCGTATATGGGTCGTATCTTTTCTACTGAACCTCAAACGTATAAGAGAATAACATTTTATGAAGACTTGAAGATAAAACTATCGAATATGATGTATAGCGGAGAAAACGTGTTAGTGATAGAATCAAAAACTCGAGACGGGTGCAGAGTACTGCTGAATCGGGCGGACCTTATGCGTCTTCAATATCTTGAATGTTGTATTTTCGAAAGTATTATCCGGAAAGAAGTATTCACCGCACCATTAATTATAAAACAGTATGAGGAGTTCGCGACTTACGTAGATGAGAAATGTGCTCGTCATAAATCGCCACCGAAAAATATCGATGAGATGAGAATATTCATTCAAAACATGCAAGACGAGCGAACGGTTGAATCTTCGCCGAACTTCACTAGTCAAATACAAATGTGCGCAGCTGTACAACTAGCAGAATCTTTACTAAATCTGGAAGCATACAACTCGCATGAGGTAATTGACGGGCCATGGATACCGGATCAAGTCAGGACACCATCACCATTTCAAACGACTCAACACCCAACACCAATTCGCTGTGTACAACGTCAATTATTTTAATATTTATAGGAAATTAACTAATTTATGTGAAATAAAAAAAACATGATTTATAAAAAGTATTTTCATTTATTAAAATAATATTAAGGTTTACAATAAATATTTACAAGGTTCTCACTTCACCATTAAATGGATTATAAGTTATAATTTGGTCATGTAATATTAAGCAATATGTAGATGTTGAAGCTGGGAACGCTTCTTCTGCTTCTATTTCAATCCTGAGGTCGACGGTTGATGTTTTCACGTTATCGTTCTGTCTGCTCATGTCAACAACTATAATTGGAGACAGATTTTTGAAATCTGCTCGGTTCAATAGCGGTTTCACATCGTCATGGCCGTAGTAAGATTTTTGGAACTCGGCATACGCGCGATATAATGTCGCCATCTTGTTGTTGGTAAAGTCACTTTGAAAATCTTCATAGGGAAATACTTCAGCGTTTAAATAGACTTTTAGGTTTTTTATTTTACAATGGTCGAAATATGACATTGATTTAATCGAGCTATTTTTCCTATTGGTTTGAAATCCGATTATTACATAGCGAGGGTTTTCTAATTTGTTGGATGTCTTCACTTTCCACGAATGCGAAGTGTTTTGAGGTAAAAATGGATATTCACACAGTTCCCACGATCTAAACGCACATGTCAGGGGTTTCTGATTGTTGATTACTTTCAACAGTCTAATTTTTTCTCTATCACTAACTCTCACTATAGGCATCCGCCACAATATTTTTGTTATGTTTATTTTAACGTCTTTTAGTTTAGGAGCGTCTGCGACAACTTCATTATCTTTATATTGCTTGACAGCATTTATATCGAGCGATGCTCTATTCAATACAAGTTGCTGATTACAGTTTATTAAAATTTGCTTATAATCTTCACAAAAACCAAACAAATCTTTAAGATTAATACATCCGTTAAAATGGTCGTTATCGATAAAATCTTTATTAGCAGATTTAATTTCGCTATCCCAAGCAGCATTATGATGCGATGAAATATTTGTTTTATTATACGAGCAATATCCTTTTAATGTGGTCGATATACCCGGATTGACGAGTTTCTGAATTTGAGTACCGTTTATTTCGTATTTCATTTCAGAAAAAAGAAATGCCAGTCCGTTGTTTATGAATCTAATCTCGTCAGTTATTTCCACAGGTTTGATTATTGTCCCCTCGATGTAAATATAACTCTCACATGGTAAAGTATAAGACTCTGTGTTATGCAGAGCAATACGCACCTCGTCGTTATTAGAAAGAGCAGATGTTGAATACGGTAAAAAAGAATGATAGTCAATTTGAGTTATTTTACAATCGTCGGTGTATCCAACCGTTACATCTAAATACAAATCGTCCATATTAAATAGCGTTTAGCGAGCGTAGAAAAGCCAAATTATCTGCTGTTAGACTATGATCAACTTGTTTACGTCTCGAATATTTCTTCTTCTTCGGAGATGTTACCTTGCTAGTGGTTTTAATACGTGTGACAGGTTTTACATACGCAGTCCTATTTATATTACAAAATTGCAGACCCATTGTTTATCACAAGTCTTGAATTAATAATCGTATCGATACTGGCTCGCCTCGTAGATCGATCAACTCGTTGTCTTGATTTTTTAAAATTATACTCGCGTGCGTTATAGATGTAGAATTAATTGGGTAAAATACCAAATGTGTTGGAACCTCTATTATTTTATAACCTGGAGGTACATTCGGGTAAAACTCGTGTATTGTATGGCACTGCTTACCGTTAACGAATGAACCCATAACCAGATTTGAGTCGATATATATACAGTTTGTTTTTGTAATATTGACCAACGCATCTGATTCGTGATTGACATTAGCATCATACTTACGATTTTTAAACCCTAACAATTTTCCTATACCATTAGACATGGAAAAATCAACAGTTTCACTACAAAACATTGTGCATTTTAATGTATTATTATCTGCTCTCAACACGAATAAAGTATCTGAATTAGGTAATACACGTATTATTGCCGCTTCGATTTCCTTCAACTCATAAGATCCAGTGGGTATTGTATAGCTTTCGCTTGTACGCTTACCTGAGATATTATTTGTGATTCCTATTCTATTGCATTTCTCGTTTACATTAGGTACAGAATTATTTGTTTGAAAACCCAGCAGACAGATTTTCGCGTTTTTACTGACTTCTATAGGTGGAAAAAATTCGCATAACAATTCACTCGAGTTGCCGGTTAACGTTATAGTGTACATGATAAAAATTGTAAGCACAAGTGACCACAGTTTGTCGTATTATATTTTTGATGTCTATCGTAATTATATTCGATTCTGCACCCGTTGAAATATTTCTGTAATTCTAGCGGAGGGGCTAAGTTTCCGTAGCTGTCAAAATATTTGACTTGTTTTCCGATTTTCTTATACGCTACCCAATGAGTTCCTGTACAGATTTCAGTATCTAAATTAACTACAGCTGACTCTTGATTTTTCGTTCGTTGAGGCAACTTGTCTCTACAAAATACACCGATGAAATGAGGTATTTTCAATTTGTTTGCGTATTTTATAACCTCATAATCGAACAACGCTCTATCGGGTAACGTAACAATTAGTTTTTTGACCTAGATTTCTTGACTGAACCGCCCTTGTGTGGTTTTCTAGACTTCTTAACTGATCCACCTTTGTATGGTGTTAGGTATAAACCTTCTCCTTTTACGACTTTATAAGAACTACCCTTGTGAGGTGCTAGATATAAGCCTTTGCCTAAATGAATAGGAGTGTTTTTACCAGAATTTAATTCTTTCACGACTTTAACTATATTACCAACTCCACCGGTAAGCGCACCTAATGCTGATAAACCAGCAAAAATAGGTATTAATGGTAAGACACCGCCCCTTTTCGGTATTGGTATAATTCTTGGAGTTTTAGTCTTCTTGATTTTAGATTTTTTAGATTTTTTTGCAGCTGACAGACATGTTTTTACTAATTTAGTTATATTTTTTTCGTTCATTTTGTTTTTGATCGAATTCTTAGCAGCCAAAACCATTTGTTTAAATCCGCAGCCAGCTCCCATCTTACGTTTGACCTTCATGGCTGTAGTGACCAGCCAAGACGCAGCTTTTTCCTTGATACCTGTGTTTTTTGATTTAAACACTTCCCAAGCCTGATTTTCTAATACTTCGTCCGCTCTGTGTCTATCGGTTAGTGAATTACTTTCTTCGTATGCGATATCGTGGGCTCTGGCCAACTCGTCAAGACGGTTTATCCCGCGTTCTCCACGCGCTAGTCTTTCTTTTAATTTGGTTCCAGGACCGGCAAATCTATAACAAATATATATATAAAATGTAGACAGGATTTAATAACAATAATATTATGTAACGACTTACCTATAGCCTGGTAAATGCAATTCCACGGGTAAATGATTTATAACAGAGTTAATAAGACCGGATCCTTTATTGTTGTTTCGCTTACGAACGCGAGACATCGTGTGACGCTTTCGATAACATTGCATCTGTATTTATAGTGAAAAATTAAAAAAAAAAATGCGCTTTATTGAACAAGAGAAAAAACTTCGGATTTATAACATTGATACCCCCGAGACAATTCAGCTGAGACATGGTGAACTTTTCCCAAATACGATAAGGTCGTTGGTACTTGGTAGCTCTGGATGTGGTAAAACCAATCTGATATATTTTTTACTCGTCGATGAAAACGGTTTGCGATTTGAAAACGTTTACATATTATACTCTAAGACCTTAGAACAACCAAAATATAAATTACTGAAACGTATTATTGACGGTATTGATGGTATCAACATTTTTACCTTTTTCGAGAATGATAAAGTAATTCCACCCGAGCAAGTCTTACCGAACTCAATTTTTATCTTGGATGATGTTATCGGCGAACAACAAAATGTAATAAGAGATTATTTTTCTCGAGGTCGCCACAATAAAATTGATATATTTTATCTAGCTCAGAGCTATTCAAAAGTACCTAAACAGCTGATACGCGACAATGCAAACTTAATAGTATTGTTCAAACAAGATGAAACTAATTTAAAACATATATATCAAGAGCACTGTTCAGGGGACATGACATAATACAATTTAAAAATTTTTGTATGACATGTTGGAACCGTGAGATGTTTACATTTATTGTTATTTGTAAAGACTGTGAGCGTGATAACGGACGTTATCGTTTTGGGTTTGATACTTATGTGGTTATATAAGGCGATACAATTAATAAATATTATCATTTATAACGTAGTCATGACGGAAGCAACTACTGTTCTAGATGAGCTTGTCAAAGCTAAGGAAAGTATTAAACGCAAATATATCGCATTGAAAACCGGTTCGGATAATGTTCAACAATTAATGACACAGACATTAAAACCAATTATCGATCCATTAACTAAAATATCGAATAAACCTGGGCTGACATCAAACAAAGAAAATATTAACGTCAGGTCGAAAAACTCATTTGCGGACGACTATCAACAGGAAATTGAAAATTGGCTTCAGTCAACAGACTTGGATAAAATATACGGTCCGAAAAAACTTCCAAATGGCTATATTATATTGGGCGATAAAGAAGTAAAATTCACCGAAAATACTATACTTATTGACGGTACTGTTTATGACTTAACCTCAGGTCTTATTCAGTTATTATTTTTGAAAAATCCTCTTGTTTATACCGACAACGATATAGGTGTGTATAAATCTATATTGATTCAAACATAAGCACATACAACTATTGGAAGAAAAATTATAAAAGAGGGTGGCTTTAAATATACATCAATCATCAGTAAATTATTTCCCTCGGGCAGTGGACTGTCTATGAAATTACAGAAAAATAACTTAGTGTATTGGGACAATCCAAACGAGTTGGTCGATCGATTACGTCTACTTCTAGCGTCAAAGGCAGCTGGTAATACAGGCGTTTCAAACGAAATAATATCGATTTTCGAGGAATTACGTGAGGCCGGACTAATAAAACGGGTTCCAGATGTCTAAACGGGAAATAGCTTACGAACTTCACAAACCAGCAAGGAAAAATTTCACTAGGCGTAGAGTCAACGTCTATGGGAAAAATGATTTATGGCAATCCGACTTGGTTGAAATGATTCCTTATTCAAAAATAAATGGCGGTTACAAATATTTTCTGGTTGTGATTGATTGTTATACAAAGTTTTCTTGGTCTATACCATTAAGAAATAAATCTGGGAAGGAAGTTACTAGCGCGATGGCTACAATATTACGTGATCGTTCACCAAAACTTTTACAAGTCGATAATGGTAAAGAATTTTATAACACCACCTTCGACGCTTTGATGACCAAGTATGGCATAAATAAATATTCAACTTTCAGTGTTCTAAAGGCTAGCATAGCAGAGAGGTTCAACCGAACAATTAAAGGAAAAATGTATAAGGAGTTCACTGCACGTGGCTCTCATGAATGGGTATCAATTCTACCAAAGTTGCTCGATGAATACAATAATTCATACCATAGAACTATAGGAATGACACCAATACAAGCAGATTCCAACCCCGCTTTGATGGTAATAAAACAGGGTAAAATTAATAATGAAAAAATTAAATTCAAAGTCGGTGATAAAGTTCGTATAAGTACACAGAAAGGCGTATTTACAAAAGGTTATTTACCAAACTGGTCTACGGAAATATTTGAGATTATCAAAATAAATAAAACATTGCCAGTTACTTATCAATTGCAAGATTATATGAGTAAGCCTATTGCCGGTTGTTTTTACTCTTCGGAAATAAGCAAGACCAATTTCCCAAACGAATATTTAATCGAGAAAATTATTCGCAAGAAGGGCGATCAAATGTACGTCAAGTGGCTAGGATTCGATAATACACATAATAGTTGGATAAATACACGTGATGTTAAAAAATAGTGTCAGTCGTTTTATAACCATGAACGTGTTTGGTAGTTCTCAGGCGAGTGATACTAGGAGAATTATTTCAGATATTCAGTCAAATAACAAAACGATACTAAATGATGTGAAACTCCAACAGAAAGAAATCGATACTTTGAAAAGTAATATTGTTAATCTACATGTAAAGATACAATTGCTTGAAAATAATATACAAACAAGTAATAAGTCTTTATTAAATTGTGAAAATCGTATGTCGCAGCTATTTAATGACTGTGCTGACAATAGTACAGCGATTGCTATCCAGGGACTTGACGTGGCCCAATTAAAAGCTGAAATAAATCGTATAACTGGAATATTCGATGAAAATTCATTACCAAATCATGGAACATATATTTCAGAATTAAACTCACGTTTGGAGATCATTGAAGGCAAAAATATCAAGAAAACTTAATTTTATTTAATGTACTTACTAAATAGTTAAATA